ATATATACACTGAATAGAGAAAAAAAAAGTCCCCAAATGGGGATCTTCATTGACTTACGAAAGGGTTTTTTATACAGTTGACCATGGGCTTGCTCCCGTAAAAATTGTCACACTAGGGGTTTTTGGGGGGCACTCCCTCAACTACCCCAAGTATACCCCGCAAAAGAAAACCAAATGTGTACGCAAAATGGGGGGGAAAACTATTCTGCACAAACCAATTATAGTTGGTGTCCCCCCAGGGGAAATGTCCTTGGCCCTTTTTCTCTTTCTTTCCCATACATAAAGGGCCTACCAAATGCTTCGGGAATTACTCAAACCCCCCACTATTTTCTGTGACACAAAATACGTCTTCTCCCACCCGAGCCCAGTCACGCTAGGGCCAAAACTTAAATCCGAATTAAGAAAATATCTACCTGGATGAGTACCCAACAAAAATTACAATAAACATTGAAAAAAACCTACTTCTTTTAGTTTGGTAACAGAGCTACAGATGTCCCTTTAAATTTGATAAACGGATCACCCATCACAAAAACTAACAGAGGGAAAATTCTTTGGAATCCACCCTTTATAATAGACTTTAAATTTCAACAATATACAAAAAAAATTTTTTAAGAAAATTTCCAAGCCCCGTTTTGGCCCTTACTATCGAAGATAGGTACTATGCTCCACAGTCAGCCCCCCCCGGCCCTATATCACTCTTTATTTTTCCCCCTATTCCCTATGGAATTTGGGGCATGGGGCCCCAACAAGAAAATAACCATCTCAGGGCCCCTAAAATTTCCCAACAAAAAGGGGTGCAGTTTTGAATGTAACAAATTCTCCCCTACCCGGCAGCACACTCCACCAATTTTCAATAAAACTCACCTACCCCAAAAACCCAAAACATCCCAAAATTATTTCTGCACCTATTAATACATTTGAACACTAACTCTGTTTTTAACCCTCCCCTCAAACATCTCCCCCCCCCTTTCCAACCTCAAAAAGAAACCCTGAAAATAAACAAGGCACAGATCATCTTTGATATTCCTCGTGTCCATCTTTACGCTATGCAAAAAAATCAATGCACTAAAAAAGGCCCCAAAAACTTGGGAAATTTATTACCTGTAAATATAAAAGAAACACTACCTGTTTATAAAAATTTAAAATTCTTCTTTAAAAATCACTTACTACCCCCAAAACCAAAAAAAATATGAATAACTGAACCTTATAAATTGGTTTTATCTTAAATTTTTTCTCCAATTATATACAAAATTTTTAAACCTAAAAAACCCCAAACTAACTTTATTTTTTTTTTAAAAAAACACTACCTAACAGAATACTCCATTCTACTGAATTTTTCAACAATGGCCCTGCAACCATATGCCTGTTTTTTGTTTAAAACTCAAATTTTGCTTTATAGTAATCTGTTTCTTAATTTTTTTTCATGATTTCATCATTGCTTAGTTAAACTTAAGTTAAATTTTTAAACCAGCCCCTAAAAACTATGCATAGTTTAAATGGTTTGGGATGGGTGCTCTTATCTGTATTTTTTTGTACCTCTGTATGTGTGCTCAAATTATAAATAAATAATATTTGATTATTTGGCCCTCATATCACAGTAGGTGGAGGGTTATCAGTAGAGTGCCACCAAACGGGTGCCCTTGGGAAAAATCGGGAGTATCCCCCTCCAGGAGTGCCCGGTGAAAAACACTTCATTTTTACGTTTATCAGCTTATTTTATCAAAATATCGGCTTGTTTATTATCAGAATTTTATCCCCAAAAATGATATTTAAAAAAAACCACTTAAAAAAACCCAAAAAAACATGTTTATATCTTGACTGAATAAAAAAAAGGCCATAATATGGGGGAGGGCCCCCAGCAATATTTCGATATAATAGTTACTCCCCGTGTCCCTGTTGGGATTGTTTGGCTGTGAGTGATAGGGAAAAAGGTGTTTTTTAAGAGGATAACTGCACTAGAACAAACAGGGTTTTCTGAAGGAAAAAACCCCCGAAACAAACGCGATTTTCGTGAAAAAAAAAAAAAAATTTAGACGCCTGGCGGGCCGGGGTTTTTAGGCCTATATCTCGGGAAATAACTTTTTTTTCTTATTTGCTTTTACGCCATTATTAATGATTTATGAAAAGGGTTTTTACACGAAATAAAACAAAATGGGGTTTTGGGCTATTGATTTTTTTGGGGAAAACCTTGGGGGAGAGTTCCGGGGGTCAAAAGTCCCCCCGGCCCGGTCTGTGACCAGGCCTCCTTTGGGGGATCAGGGGCCTGATCAACCAGGCTGTTACGGGTTGGGTGCACGCAAACCAAAAGGTTCGAAACCAAAAGGGGCCCGGGTGGTTTAGGGAAAACCGACTTTAGGGCTTGTCCAGTGCCGCTTGAAGCTGCAGGGGTCTGTTTGGGAATCCCCCCTTTTTGTATGCTGGGAAAGGGAGTTTAACGTATCTCAAATATTTTTGATTTTTTTGAGGGGTTTTAAAAGGGAGTATTTTTGGGGTTTGGGTGCCAAAAAAATTTTGTCAAATGTATTTTTTTTTTTCCATGTTTAAAAAGATAGATGAAATGGCTATTTTAAAAAAAATCATGCTAGAGGGTTTTTTAACAGTTGGGATTGTGGAAGTGCCACTCATAGTTGGGCCAAATTTTTCAGGTCATGCTGCCAATATCAAAAATTTTTGTTAATATTTTTTTTCTTGTTTTTTGTTGGCCAATCTTTCTAAAACTTTGTCCATTTTTTACATTTGGGACCTCTAAAAAATACGCCAAAAAAAAAAAAAGAAATCGGTTTTAAAAATAAAAAGTTGGCCGAGGGTTTGGAGGTGTCCTTAATTAAAATTTGGGGATGTTTGTTTTGTGGCGTGTTAGTTGGGTTTTAAGGAGTTTGTTTTGGTTTTTATCTTACTGAAAACACGTTTTAAACCCTTTGGAGAATCTTATTATGTCCCCGTCTTGTTCTTTTTAAAATATTTACCCCCCATCCAAGTATTTTTAATGATAATGTGCTTGTGGGGTCTTTTATTGCCTTTTTAAAGCATAAACTTCAAAGTTATGTAATGTTGTTATAAAAGCTTGAATTTTATGGTTGTTACATTTAATATTGATATTTATATATTGTAGGTGTATATTTTTCTACTTATAAAGGTGTATGAGTGGGATACGAAAGTAATTTTCATATCGGGTTTTTTCTCTGTAATTTTAAAGTTTTTTTGTTTTTGTTGTTCATGCTTCACCAAAATTTTGGTAAAACTCCCTTTTTGGGTTTAGGTCAGAATATGATTCTTTAAATTTTTTGGATAATTAATGGTATGTTTTTTAGACGGTGAATTTTAAATATGTTTTATTTTAATGTGGGGGGGGGGGGGGAAACGTTTAGGGTGTGTGTCAGCACTGGGGAATAATAATTATTTGTTAAAAGGGGGGGATTTGTGGATATTTGTGGGTTTTTTGTTTTTGGGTTTTTATTACCATTTTCCAGACAGGACCAAAAAATTTAAATGTGATTTCAGCTCGTCTGACACCACCCCAAGTTGACTTGTTTAGGCCCAAAAGGGGGTTTAAATTCAATATTTATTAGAAACAAAAACATAATTAGAAAAAAAAATACAACGTGTATAAATATTAAAAATGAATCAGGCAAAAAAAAAAAAAATTTTGGGGTACAGTGGAACCATAAAAATTTGAAGGGGGGTTTAAAAAAAAAGATTTTAAATGAAAAATGTCAAGAAAAAAGTGGCATCTCAGTGTGTTCTTTTAAATGGAAGCCCAAATTTTTGTAATGGCACAAAAAAATAAAAAGTAAATGTGTGTACAACATGTATGATTGTTGCTTTTAACTTTTTTTTGTAGTAAAATACATTAACCCCCACTTGGGGGGTCCCTTCCCGCAGAGTATTTGATTTTCTTTTTAGTCAAGGAAATGAGAGATTTTTTGCAGAAAACAAAAATGGGAAAGGGCAGTTTGGGGGATAATAAGTGGAGGGGGATATGAAGGCAGCAGAGAAAACAGGGGAGGGAAGAGGGAGGGAGGAGGGGAAAGGTTTTTTATGAAAGATAAGGATGTTACAAGAGGGACGAGTGTGTACCCAGGGAGGGTGAGTGTGTACAAGAGGGACGAGTGTGTTCGAGGGAGACGAGTGTGTACAAGAGGGACGAGTGTGTTTCGAGGAGGGTGAGTGTGGAAAGAGGGGACGAGTGGTTTTTACGAAGAGACGAGTGTGTACAAGAGGGACAGTGTTTTACGGGGAGGAGACGGTGTGTACAAGAGGGACGAGTTTTGTTTCGAGAGAGATTTAGGTGTACAAGAGGGGGCCCAGTGTTTTACGGAAAAGGGGGATGATTGGGGTACAAGAGGGACGAGTGTGTAAAGAGAGAGGGTGAGTGTGTTTCAAGAAGGGGGCGAGTTTTGTACGAGAGGGGCGATTTTTGCACGAGGACGGGGTTGTGTTGAGAGAGACGAGTATGGGCGACAGAGAAGGGTCTATGAAAGTGAAGAATGCACTTAAGGGAAAGTTGAGTGTATGCAGGCGAGTGTAGGTAAGCGTATGAGAGGTTTACGGATGGCGGGATGAAAGGGGGAGAGTAAAAAAAATAGAGAGGGTGAATTTTATAAGACTGCATGTGTGCATTTTGAAAGAAAGACGATGTGCATGTGTTTAAAATTTTTTTAAATTTTGAAATATACTTTATACCTTAGGCATCAACAGGTCTGTTTTTTCCAAGCCTTTTGACCCGTTGGGAAAAAGAAGCAGGCTTTTTGTCAGATCTAACCCGCTTTTTTTCTTTGGGAGCTTCTGAAGAACATGTAGAGAGCTCTTTATTTCCCGACTTGTGCTGCAGTTTTTCCAAGTGTTGTTTGGGATTCTTTTTGTTTCTTGGCCACCGAGTCACAAGTTTTTTATTAATCTGAAGGTATTGCTTTTTAATTCTCTGAGTGTTAGCGATTTGTTAAAGTTATTTTAAAGTATTTTTAAAGGGCCCTTCAACTTCACGAATAGACAGTAAGTAGTTATCCTTTAAACTCTCTGCTGTTTTCCCGATCAGAGGTAGAGGAGAGAGAGATGTTATCTAACCCCTCAATTGGCATTAGACTAAGACCAGCAAACTTCATTAACTCCTTCAGTCTTCTCTTCAGTTCTTTAATAGTACACTGAAACTCATTCACATTAAATTTACCTTGTTGTGATAATGTAACTTGATTCACAATGACTAAGATCGCTGCTGTGAGCTGGGTGATTGTGTCTGATGCAGATTCTACACGATTTACCCAGGACACAATTTTGCTCATCTTTTCGTCGTCCTGCAGGTTTTCATCATACTGCAAGGTAGCATTGAGTTGTGAAAACTTCTTCAGAAAGGCAGGAATGGCAAATGTGGCCGAGTGAGCAGCTGCTGAAAGATTCTGTGAGCCTTGAGAACTGTCTTGTTCTTCCTGGTTGGCAGCCAGGAGTACCGTGGAATTACTGGCTATTTTACCAGAAATTATAACCAACAAATCAAGTCCACTTTTTAACCCATCTGTGAATTTCTTGGACAACAACCCTCCTGGTTTGAATTAGTGTTCGTTGGTACACGAGTGGTAGCGAAGAGTGCCAACTTTGCAATATCATCCACAAGTGTCTGTGCAAGTGATATCAAGGTGCTACTTTCTTCTTCCATCAGACTGTCTACTTCATTCTTTGCACCCTGGAAGAGTCTGCAAGTAACATTGGTGATCTTGGCTGAAGCCCGTCGCAGCTTCTCTTGCAACTGCCCACCTTCCACACACTTTGTTAAATTTTCAGTATTAGCTACAGCTAACAAACTGTTAATTGTTGTTTGGCTTGAATGATACAAGCGAATGAACTGCTTGCTAAGATTGTCATCTGATAGTGTGTGGCCTGGCTCTGTTATGTGATCTCTGATGTGCTGTGTAGCCTCATGCAAGTCAGCAACAGCATTTAAAGCAGTAGTAAGTGGGGAACATGAAGTATAAGACTGGGGCAAATTTGTAAGGGGCCAGAGGATTGCTGCCGCTACTGTTACAGAACCATGACACGAACTGCTTTCACTGTTACTTGTGCAACGTTCTCCTACATACAACATGCTACTCTTCCTCCTGGTAGAGTTTGAAGGAGAGAGGAATAATGAGGTTGAACTCATTGAACAATTCAGGGAGGAATTCAGTGTATGGAGAGATGGGCAATCTAGTAACTTGTTGATAAACCCAGGAACACAGCTCACATCCTCAGTGTGCTCCCAATGTAGGCTGGCCTCAAATGCTTCATCATATTCTTCATTCTGGACAATATCACGCAAAATCTGTAGCTTTTCCTGGAAGGCATCTAGGGTGAGTGTGGCTGTCATCAGGTGCTGCAGGTCCTTAATCAATACTATTACCTCAAGGCCGGACTCTGTCAAAACTTCTTGTAGTGTGAATTCATATGGGTTCTTCAGCTTCTTGCAAATTTCATTGGCTTCTTTTATCTGAAATCTGAGCATGGGAGGATAGAGTTGGGTAAAGTCCTTTCTTATTTCTTGAACAGACTCATTGAACACTGCTTGCACCTCTTTCAATAACTGAGAGTTTGGAAATCCTGTTGATGGAAGAGACATGTCGAGACTCTTATTATTTTTTCTGCCTCTTAAGATCTGCTCCTCCAGTAGCTGCTTTTCAGTCTCTAGTTTTGTGTTCCTTCCAACTCGCACACCAACTGTTGTTTGCTGATAAGCTGACTCTGAGCTTCTTTAGTATCACGCATCAGCTGATCTCTCTGGCCACACGTTTCTTGCTCCATTCAGCTTTACTGGCAGCAATAGCAATCTCCGCTTCCTTTTGCAACCTTCGTTCTTGCTCCTTTAAAAGCTCCTCTTTTGTAAAGTAAAAATCCATCTTCTTTGAAGTCTCCCGGTTAGAATCTCTGCCTTTAACTATACTGCCGAATCGGAAGTAGTAAATGCCAGCAAGCACCAGTCGATCGTTGTGATGCAGCGTGTGAGGAGAGGATATTAATTTGCCATTGACATATGTATCTGACTGCCTCTGGAAGTAGTTGCAGATCACCATTTTCATTCTTTATGGAACAAAGAACATTATCTGTGTGGAGTCCACGGAGGGTGAGATCACTGTTGGAGCGACCAAGAGAAGTGATTCCATTTTTAAGCTTATATGAGAGGGTCTCTGAAAGTTGTGGATCCACACTTGGGTTGATCAGCACTGGCTCTGTCTCCTTCTCAGTTGCAATTCCAAGTCGACACAGACTTTCCAAAGCTTGCTGTCGCTGAGCCTCTGCTTCTTCAAGCTGCTGCTCCAGACTTCTATTATTCTCAGTGAGAAGCTGTTCGCACTGCAACTGTTGGAATCGTAGCTGTTCCCTTAATGCTTCTATTCCTCTTTGTATTGGATTGCCATGTTATTTTCTATTTCCTTTTGGTTGATGGCATTCTCCCTTTCCAGGAGATCTTTTTCTTTATCAGTTACTCCATCTCGATCAAGTTGCTCTTCATCTGCCAAAGTTTCCCCATAAAAGAGTTGACAAGAGTTTCTGCTTAAGTGCTGCAGGCGAAGACGTTCAACTTCCTCTTTTAAAGATCTAATAATCACAGCTGTAGGATCTTCATTGATGTAGTTATGGTTAACTATTTTACGAGTTTGTTGAGCATATCGGAGTGTAGACAAAGTTTCTTCCAGGTAGATATTACAAGGGGAAACTGTAGCAATCATTGCAGTCCTAGAGTTGCCCCCAAGAGATTCCTTTAACAGGTAAGTCAGTACTGACTCCCTGTATGGAATGAATGGTCTTCGTCGTCCTTCACTCTCTGCAAGAGCAGTGATAACTTTCCCAAGGGTTAAAAGGGATTTATTTATGCATACTCCCTCCTTGAGTCTGTCTCCTTGTGACTGTGCTGCTGCAACACGCTCACTAACAGCCAGATCCACCAGATTGATGATGCTCACCTTACTGCTCTCCAGCTGCTCACCCTGAACATCTTCTACCTGTATGTGGGTTAGTTTGATAGTGAAGACAGCATGAGAACGAGATGATTTCTCATTGACACCAGTTGCAGCAATGGAACGCTCCTTATTTCCCAACAACAACCATGTCTGAAGATGGTCGTAAGATGACACCAAATGACGAGCAACCCCTTCCACATAGGGACCATCTTTAGGGTGTTCCCGAACTCTTAGAGCCTCGCGGCAATCTGTTCCACGTTCTCCACTTGCTAATAAATCATATATACGCTCATTGTATATCTTGATGTAACTGAGCTCCACTTCAATGCGAGACTGTGGTAGCTGGCCTTCGGGTGGGTTAAAAGAATGCAAATAATCAGCTCGGTTCAGAAGATCCCGACAGAAGCGAGGGATAATGCCAGCAGCTGAAGGAACTTCTAATTCAGATTCACTGTATAAATCATCTCCCAACATCGCATAACTCTTCCCAGAGCCAGTTTGGCCATATGCAAAAAGGCAAGTGTTGTAACCTTCATATGCCTTCTCCAAGAGAGGTTGTGCTACAGTAACATATATGGCTTCTTGTGAAGCATACAGAGGATCCAATGGATCACTGGAGTTAAAACAGTGGTCGTAGCTGAAGGAGTGAACGGTGCCACTATCACTTGTAATTGATATAGTATTGCCTGCAACATCAATGATTTTTTTCACATCTGGTGGTAACATTTCCCTTGTGCTGATTGGTCGAACTCTGACTCCAACAAACACAGTTGTAGACTCTGCAACACCATATATGTATTCAACACCTGGACTGGGGCTTGTGGAGATCTTTCCTGGGAAACTGCTCACAATGTCTGGTGTCAGATGAATTAAGCCAACAGAGGGAGTCTGGCTGTGGTTGGAGAGTCTAGCATGACTTGAGCTGGATCTTCTTGAGCTGCCCGGAGTGGGTGTACTGGAGCCAACAGAAAGTTTAGATGATCTGCCTACAGGTTTAGTTAGTGTTGGTGTCCTGGATTCACTTGACAGTCTGCTACACGATGCCCTGGCTCTTCTCAATGACGTTGGAACATTGAGTGTTGAGGAAGATAATACTCTATTCAAGTTATCTTTCTTCTTTCCATCATCTTCCTTCTTGACGCTTTCCATATCCTTCGTATTTTTGGAGGATCTCACACCTGTGCAAGCTGGACTTGACTCCATCCTCCGAATGTCATCCTCTTGCCTGAGTCGCTTGCGCAATGATGCACTTGGTGCATTAGTTAGTGTGTTCTTGGTAATGGATGACTGCAGAGGAGTGTGGTTGACCCTCATACTTGCACCTCTTACAAAACATGGCATTAGAGACGGTACAGCATGAGAGGGTGTGGTCCCTCGAGAATCTGATGCAAGTAATATGGTTGTTGAAGGTGTGCGTGGAGTGGTGAGGGCAGTACTAGATAAGTGTGCTTTACTTCCTCTGAGCATCGATGGTGTAGTTGTAGCTGGTGTCCGAGGGGTTCCTGCAGGAGCTGTGCTGCACAAATTTATTGGGGTCTTCAAGAAATGGGAACTGTCCGATTCGAGTAAAGAGTTAGAAGACGAAGTACGAAGTGGGGTCCTCAACTTTGGTTTATTTTCTTTTATCTCTTGTCTGTTGTCCTTTTTATCAACATGAGACGTGATAACCACCTTTGTATCTGCCTTCTGTTTACTCATGGTGCTGTCAGATGATGTGCAAAAGAGGATGTACTAATAGACAGAGACAATATCAAGAGCGAAGGTGCACTGCAGCAGCAACTCCAGCAGATTGAATCATGTTTACTAAATAGTGACTCCTGATTTGTGGACGAGACTGATATTGCCATTATGTATAGTATTTATTTTCTGTACTGGGATTGTGTATTAGAGGTTATTGTTAATATCCAGTATTATGTTTTATTTTTTATTATACTCTTATACCTCCTTGTATTTGTTCTATGTTTTAAATAAAATATAAAAAAAAAAGACTAAGATTGGACAGTTTTCTGATGGCAGCGACTGGACTTAATCGGCTGACCTCCACAACGGTGTTGGTGACAGACACTGCAAGTTGTCTTGTGTACACAATGTGTTATAACGCGGAGATAAGGGTGTCATGTGGACCCGGTAGCGAAGGAGTGAAGATTTACATGGGGACAAGGATGTCATGTGGACACAGTTGAGATGATGTTATAACGCTGAGAACAGTGTCGTGTGACACTGTTATAAAGGTGTCGTGTCAGTTGACACGGGTGTGTTTGTAATATTGTAGTCAATTAAGTGTCAGTTGTGACACGGGTGAAATTGTAGTAATGTCAGTAACGGATAGTCGTGTTTGTGATAAGGTGCTTTGTAATGTGATAATTCTTGTGTTTATGATATTTTAATGTGATAATGAAACCAAAGAATACTTTGTTGTCTTTTATAATGCTCTTATTTTATAATTTACTAGTGAAGATTAAAAATATTGTGTATTTTTATACTCCCGGACACACATTCTTATTACAGTTTGGATGATGGGCTAAGAATAATATGGTAATTAACAGGCTAGTTGAAGTTTTAATCATCCAGATTGTAATATTGTAATACCTAACACTTGGGCATGACTTACTTTCACATTGGACAAATGTAATATCACCTACGACTCCTGCACCTACAGTAAATAAGCCACTTCTTCGCACATATGCTGTATTCTTTTCAAGATTAATTGACTGATTACATCGACTCAAGGCTGAGGGACTGATTACCTCAAACTACTCCTGTTTTTCACGATTCTTTGTATGGACTGATGAAGCCACTGTGGCGAAACGTTTCCTCATTAAAGATACTCAAGTGTTGCACTTGAGTCTAATTTAGAATCATAAAGTCTAACAATTAAAACAGTTCTACTTTATCAGTGAGTGAAGAACAACAACTTTTCAGGAAATTTCGCTCATACAGAAGCACGAATTTGTTGTAAAAGTAATGTATCAGTGTGAACGTGGAGATCTATCAACTTGGAGAAGCGGTGGATTAATATATAATTTAATCTGTGAATGATATTCACCCTGTTCCATCAATACAAAATTTAAAGTACACACCGTGTGAAAAATATACTTAAATGTTCTCACATAGTGTATAATTTGTATCTTGTGGTGTCGAAGGAACACTCGTGAGTGCATCTGACATGAATATATTTGACTCGTGATCAGCAGACTGGGAATCGACCCACCACTACTTTATACTGCACGTTTTACAGGGGTTTAATGCTTCACGTTAAATATAGTAATAAAAACAGTTCTTCTATTTAAAAAAAAGATGTGTCCCCGTGTTAAGAACAAGATGAACATCACGAGAACAGGACCTCTTTGTTATATCTACATTATTATTAAATTCATAGGGGAGGCGCCTAATCCATGTAGGTCATAGAAAGCCTTGAAAATAGAATGTAATCAGGTCTGATAAAAGAAAGGAGAAATCAGATCCAAATTCTAGGGTTCTTGGAGGTTTCTTACCGTCCTTATCGGCGCCAAGAATCCTCCTTCAAGGGATCTTTAAAATAACCTAATACGAAGGAATAAATGTGATAATTTAACAACCACAGACTTGCATATTCGACAGTTTTTTTTACCGTTGTTGTCTAGGAATGGAAGTTGATAAGACGTCATTTAAAATTTTTATAACTAACCCCTTTAGTGGATAACCCTATATTTAGCAATTTATTTATAAATGAGCTTCGTTACTACTGATCATCATCCTTAACACACATTTCACGAAACTAGACTTTCGCTGTGCCTGCTAGCACGTGCCTAATTAGTATTACATACAAATAAATATACAATGGATATTAATTTAGGTTACTGATCCTATTCGCACATGATTACATAATAGGTAATTACTTCAAAAGTGATGCAGGAAAT